TTGACTTGGGTTTGGATTTACCCCAGGAAGAAAAAAAGGAGCTAAAACCACATTTTCGGTGGTTCTGTGCTGTTTGTACATCCCAGAATAGCCGTGGTGCTGTGCAGAGATAAAATGAGACCCTGCCTATGGCTCTGGGGCTTTAAATATAGTCCTGGGCTGGGGCTGGAAGTGACAGAGCCGGGCAAAAATAGCCCTGGTGGCGTGGCCGAGCGTGCCAGGGCTCCTGCTGGCTGTCCCAGTGTGTCCCAGTGAATTCCAGTGTGTCCCAGAGTGTCCCAGTGTGTCCCAGTGCTCCTGCTGGCTGTCCCAGCGTGTCCCAGTGAATTCCAGTGTACCCCAGTGTGTCCCAGTGTGTCCCAGTGTATCCCAGTGAATTCCAGTGTGTCCCAGTGTGTCCCAGTGTGTCCCTGGGTGTCCCAGTGTGTCCCAGTGTGTCCCAGTGTGTCCCAGTGTGTCCCAGTGTGTCCCACACTCCAGCAGCCATGGGGGAAGAGCCCGATTTCCTTTTTCCAGCAGAAAGGGGAAGCTCAGAGCAGCAAAATCTGGAGCTGGGGGGAATCCCTGGGATGGGAGCACACAGAGCCAGCACTGCTGGGATGGGCATGGAAGTGTTGGGATCATCCCTGAGGCAGGAGAGGAAATAGGGCACAGCGAGTTTGGGGTGCTTGGAGCACACCTGGACGGCCCCAAAGCAAGCAAGCAGCAAAATTCCCCTTTCCTGAGCATAAAAGCATTGCTGGAGTCAGTGAGATCCCCCTCGGGGCTGGGGAGGAATTCCCCCTTTCCTGCTGGGATCAGCTCCCAAACCCTGCTGGCTCCCGAGGCACGACAGGAGCCCCCTGAATTCCCAGCAGAGTTCAGGGAAATCTCCCCAAGCTGCCAAAGTCACGGGCATGGAGCACTCAGGGGATGGAGGCCAATTCCACAATCTTGGAATGTCAAGTTGCCAGAAGTGTCAGGGAGAGATTCTTGACAAGAGGATGGGGTGACAGGACAAGGGGAGATGGTTTTATACTGGCTGAGAGCAGGGCTGGGTGGGATTTTGGGAAGGAATTCCCGGCTGGGATGGAATTCCCAGATTTGCTGTGGCTGTCCCTGGATCCCTGGCAGTGTCCCAAGGCCGGGCTGGATGGGGTTTGGAGGAATCTGGGACAGTGGGAGGTGTCCCTGCCCATCAGGATGGATTTTAGGGTCCCTTTCAATCCAAATTCCTCTGTCATTCTGCGATTCCACGCCACAAATCCTTGATTTTATTGTAATCGCTGGAATAAACCTTCTCACCAGCCCCTTCCCAGCACAAAGCACTTGCAAATCCATAAAATTCCGGGGTGAGCTGATCCCAAGGCCTCCCTGTGCTGATGCTTCCCGGAGATTTTAGCACACTCCAAGGGCTTTCCCAGCACTTGGCAGAGCCTTTTTTTGGGATCTGTGTGTGAAGGAGGGCTCGGAGCTCCCTCCCAAAGGCTCTGGTTTATTGTCACTGCTGGGGGACGTGGGGCAGGGGCACGGAGCCTCCTCAGCTGTGCCAGCCTGGAGAATTCTCCATGGGCAGGAGGCCAGGCCAGCAGCTCTGCAGCTTTTCCACACTGCATTTCCATGGAATTGGAGGTTTTCCCCCAAAATCTGTCCCCCTGGAATTCAATTTTGCCACCAGAATTTGCACAAGGCGGAAATGGTTTTATACAGGGTGAGAGAGCAGGGCTGGGATTTTGGGATGGAATTCTTGGCTGGGCTGGAATTCCTGGCTGGGATTTTGGGATGGAATTCCTGGCTGGGATTTTGGGCTGGAATTCCTGGCTGGGCTGGAATTCCCAGATTTGCTGTGGCTGTCCCCTGGATCCCTGGCAGTGTCCCCAAGGCCAGGTTGGCCATTGGGGTTGGGAACACCTGGGACAGTGCGAGGTGTCCCCGTGGCAGGAATGGGATGGGATTTCAATCCCTTCCATCCCAAAGCATTCCAGGATTTGGGGACATTTTCCCTTTTTTCCCTGGAGCAGCCCCAGCCAAGGCTGACGTTGTGTTCTCATTGCTGGCCTCCAGCTCCTGCTGCCCTTCCGAGAGGGAAGCTCGAGGGGAAGAAGGAAAACATCCGCCCCCATTGTTTTGTTTTCCCCTGAAAAATCCCAAACAACTTTTATTTCAAACCATTGTGAGCACCGAATTGTCCTCAGCTCTGAACAGAGCAGAAATACTTTCATTTTTTTAAAAAAATTCACAGCTAAAAACCACGGGGTTCTGTTTTCCTTGGAATTACCTTTTGCATTTTGAGGATTTGATCCATTATTCCCCCTCTACCAAATCAGAATATTCGAGAGTCAAAACCTGCCTTGCTGCTTCCCTTCTCCATTTTTATTTTTTTCCACACCCAGCTCTGGATTTTTGAGTGCTGCTGTCGGGTAATTTATCCAAACCTTGAAGTCCAGTTCCCTCAGGAATATTTTATTTCTGAGTAACTGCTCCCCGTTTTACAAGAACAAATAGGATTTCTTTATGGTCCTTAGGCTGGCTTGGAAAATGGGATATTCCCAGCTCAGTGCTGGCAGCAGAATTATGGAGAATCTTCAGTAATGAGCTGGTGGAGAAAGCAAATTGCACCTTAATTAAATGTACAGATGTCAGCCTGGGAGCAGAGGGGAAAAAATGAAACCAGATGTGGAGAGACAGATGTGTGAGAAAGGAGCAGAAATGTCCAATTCTGCCCGGAATTTAATGGGGAAAAAGCAGTTTGGGTGGCCACGGGGATGTGCTGGGGAATTTTGTTTGGAGCACAAAGAAAATTCGAATTTAATCCAGTTTAGATGGGAAGATCGTGTGAGCTGGGAAAGGGGGAATTCCCAGGATTTGGTGGAATATTGGCACAGCCAAAGGCACCCAGAGCTGCCACCAACCCCTCTCCTTCTGCTTCCAGTTCATTTAAAAATTATTTTCACTCGTTTTTCCTTATTTTTTTTCCCCCCTCCTCTTCTGCTCTTCCCAGCAAATAAATAAAATACAGCAATAAAAAGCAATCTAAATATAATTATAAATATATTATAATATAAATAAAGCAATAAAATAAAATCATAATATAATAAATAAAACTACTAAACAGCAAATGAATAAAATCATAAATAATATATAAAATAAATAAATAAAATAATCCATAATAAATAAAAATTTTTCATAAAATCTGACTATTTATAATCCTAAACCTGTCTCCACGTGATTGAGGTATTGAAACTTAAAACCAAACAATGGTTTGGGTAAAACTTCCAAAACCTGGAGCTCAGCCCAAAAACTCGGTGCCACTTGGTGTCCTGGGGTTTATTTTTATTATTTGAAGGATTTGAAATACGAGGAGTTGGGTTTGAAATGAAATATTTTGGTAAGGGATTGACAATTGAATGGGCAGGGTAATCCTGTGTATAATCAGCACCCGAGCTGGAATTCAATCATCCATTATTTTAGGTGAATAATTTGAATTTTGTCACCCTTCCTTGTACGAAAAAAAAAAAAAAGTTTTTGATTTTTCCTGAGGTGGGATATGGGAAGCACAAATTCCATGGATTAACCCCAGCCTTGCCTGCCCTGTTTCCTTTTGTTGTGTTTGCTGGATTGGCTATTAAATGTTATTTTATAATTAATAATTAAATGTTATTTTATAATTAAATGTTTGAGGTTTCCCAAGTGTTCCTTCCATCAAAAACTTCCTGAATTTCCTGTCAGTGCTGGCCCGTGACCCATTGGTGACAAACACATAAATAATTGGAATTATTTCTTGCACATTGATTGCAGTTATTGATCAGGGATTATTTGCAAATCGTTTTGTTGATTGCTATTTTCAAGCTCTCACATTAATATTAATATTTAGATTTAGATTTAGATTTAGATTTAGATTTAGATTTATAGTTGTTTGTGCTTATATCTATCTGTATCTATACCTGTATCTAATCTATATTATAATATATGCATATATGTATATGTATATACTAATATTAATATTTTTGTTAATAGTTTTGTTTATATTTATATTTATATTTATATTTATATTTATATTTATATTTATATTTATATTTATATTTATATGGCAGGAGTGGGGTTTTTGTGGGGCTGGAAGCTGCTGCTGGGGGTGGCTGTGTGTGGATGGAGGTGCAGATATTGGGGAGTGTGGAAGGATTCATCTCTCAGTGACTTTGGGGTGCAATCAGGGGATTTTCAGGGGGATTTTTAGGGGGATTTTCAACCCAGACCGGGCTGATTCCACATGGAGAGAGAAGCACATGGGAATTCCCAGTGGGATTTGCTCTGTGGGTGCCCGAGGTGTGGAAGGCTTGGGAGGTGCTGAGCTTGGAGCTGGGGCTGGGGGGGCAGGAGCCCTTCCTGTGCCCTGCTGCCCCTTCCCAGATGTTGATCCTTCCCTGCCCCTTCCCAGATGTTCATCCCTCCCTGCCCCTTCCCAAATCCTCATCCTCTCCTGTCCCTTCCCAGATTCTCATCCCTTGATGTCCCTTCCCAGATCTTCATTCCCTGCTGTCCCTTCCCAGATGTTTATCCTTTTCTGGCCCTTCCCAGATTCTCATCCCCTCCTGGCCCTTCCCAGATGTTGATCCCTTCCTCTCCCTTCCCAGATGTTCATCCCTCCCCAGGGCCTGAACCCTCCCCAGATGCTGATCCCTCCCTCTCCCTCCCCAGCTGTTGATCCCTGTCCCTCCCCAGATGTTGATCCCTGTTCTCCCTCCCCAGGGCCTGAACCCTGTTCTCCCTCCCCAGATGTTCAACCCTCCTTGTCCCTCCCCAGCTGTTGATCCCTGTCCAGCTGTTGATCCCTGTCCCTCCCCAGCTGTTGATCCCCGTCCAGCTGTTGATCCCTCCTTGTCCCTCCCCAGCTGTTGATCCCCGTCCAGCTGTTGATCCCTGTCCCTCCCCAGCTGCTGATCCCCGTCCAGCTGTCGATCCCTGTCGCTCCCCAGCTGTTGATCCCCGTCCAGCTGTTGATCGCCGCTGTCCCTCCCCCGCAGGCCCAGAAGAATGAACGCGAGTCCATCAGGCAGAAGTTGGCCCTGGGCAGTTTCTTCGACGATGGCCCCGGGCTCTACACGAGCTGCAGCAAGAGCGGCAAACCCAGCCTGTCCTCCCGGTAAGGCAGAGCCCAGAAGGTCGGGGCAGCCTGGAAAGGGGGGGATCCCTGCAGTGACACGTCCCACACCATCCCTCACACTTTGTTTTCCAACCCTACCCCTGAATTTTTCCCGTGTTTAGAGCAACATCCAAATGCAATCCTTGTGCGTTGTGTAAATCCTTGGGAATGATGTGGGGAAATTGCTCCTCGAGCACTGGGCAGGGAGGTGTTGGGATGTTGAAGGGATAAAGGAAATGAAGTTTTCTGAGTTAGTTTCCCTTCAGGATTTCATTTAGGATTTAGAGCAGCTGTGGCTGCCCCTGGATCCCTGGCAGTGCCCAATGCCAAGCTGGACATTGGGGTTGGAACAGGGAAAAAACAGGACGAGCTTTAAGGTCCCTCCCAACCCAAACCATTTGGGAATTCCAACCTCCATGATTCTGGAATTGTGATGAATGATTGGAAAAGCGATTAATGCTCAGGAAGCACCAGAGGATGGACAAAAAAAAAAAAAAAAAAAAAAAAGCTTTAAAGCTTCCTGCCTCCCTTCCACATCCAGGAGCTCTGCTTGCAGACATGGCTCCATCCCTGGAGCTGCACATGGATTCCTCCCTTGGATTTTAAAGGGTTTTTTGCATCAAATGCCCTCCAGAAAATCTCGTTTGTGTTCAGCTGGGTGGAACCCCCAGCCCTGGGGAAGCACCAGACCCTTCCCATGCTGGGAGTGAAGCTGCACCTGTTGCCGTGGGATGGGAGCAGAAAGGAGCTGGGGGAGGCAGGAGTGCAGGAGGAATCCTGCTGTTCCAGGGGAGAGGTGCAGTTGTGGAATTAAATGGAGCTGAGGATCATTTGAAAGGGAAAACAGCTTTGCTGTGTGTAGTTACAGCTGAAGCAGGAGCTGCTGTCTGGTAATTAGAGCACTAATTAATGCAGCTCATCAGGGTTTGGCAGCTGAGCCCCCAGAAATTGCCAGCTGTGCCTGAAGGATTTGATGGTTGTTAATATTTATAATCCAGGAAAAAAAAAAATATGCCCTGCTGCAGCACCTACAGGAACATTTGCAGGACGTTATTCCCATGGCTTTGTTTGTATTTCCAGAGGAAAATCATGGAATGCTTGGCCTGGGAGGGACCTTCAGGCTCTCCCAATTCCCTCTCCATGGCCAGGGACACCTTCCACTACCCCAGGTTGTTCCAAACCTTGGCCAGGATCTCACCATCTTTACTTGTTCGTTCATAAACAATTATTAATCCTATTTATTTGGTGGTGATAGTAACTAATAAACGCAGAAATAAATGGAAAATAGGAGTTTGCTGTTCCTAAGCTGCCATCCCATTGGGGATGAGGAATAAAAGGATGTGGGGATGGATTGGGATCTCTCACCTGAGCTTTTCCCTTCTCTCAGCCTGCCCTGGGATCCCCTGACCCTGCATCCACACAAAATCAATCCTGGGGAGGGGAATGTGGGTGGGGTTAATCCATCCCAATCCAGCAGTGCAGCAGGGGGGGGTCTGGAAAACACCAAAATCAATTTTTGTGTTACAGGAATGTCCTGGAAAACTCCAAAATATTTTTTTTTTGCTACAGGAGTTCCTGGAAAACACCAAAATCAACTTTTGTGTTACAGGAATGTCCTGGATACAAACAGTGAATAAATAATTTCCACCACTGACAAAATATGTATTATTATATATGTTATTTATTTCTTTATGCATTTCTCTTTAATTCTTTTATTCTTTATTTGTAAATGATTTCTGCGGGTCTTTTAATAGGAACACTATATAATTTTATTCTATATATCCAGTCCTATATATTTTATTGTATTTCGTAGATTTTATTTAATGCAATCAGAGCTGAATAACCAAAACCAATGATGATATTCTGAAGCAATGATGATTAAAAACCCGATTGGGAATCCCTGCAGTGTGGGGGTAATTCTGCACTTTATCAGTAGATGGTGGCAGGAGCCCCGTGTTCGTGCGACACGGAGCTCCCAGTGCCACCTGCAGGGGACAGCAGTGTCACCGTGCCTGTGCTCCCCAGGCTGCAGAGTGGCATGAACCTGCAGATCTGCTTTGTCAACGACAGTGGCAGTGACAAGGACAGCGATGGCGATGACAGCAAGACAGAGACCAGCCTGGACACGCCTGTGTCACCCATGGTGGGTCTGGGGGCTCAGCCTGGCCCAGGGGAGGAGCCTGATCCTGTCAAAACCCTAAACCTTTCCCCTTTCCTTTCCTTTCCTTTCCTTTCCTTTCCTTTCCTTTCCTTTCCTTTCCTTTCCTTTTCCTTTCCTTTCCTTTTCCTTTCCTTTTTCCTTTCCTTTTCCTTTTCCTTTCCTTTCCTTTTCCTTTCCTTTTTCCTTTCCTTTTCCTTTTCCTTTCCTTTTTCCTTTCCTTTCCTTTTCCTTTCCTTTCCT